CGGCTCTGCCATCCACTCCCCTTCACTCCCAGGAACAGGAAGTGGCTGTTCAGCAGAAACAGAGCCCACCCCGCCCCATAGGCTGGCCACCCAGCAGCAGGGCCTGGCCTGAGGGGAGCCAGCGGGGGAGTGGGGAGGCAAGAGCAGGTTCCTGGCAGCCTCTAGTGCCACTGTGGACCTCTGGGTGCTGAGTCGTTCGGGTCCTTCCTCCCTGAGCCGGAGGTCTAGAGGCCCTGTGGGTTCCTCCTCAGAACCACTGGTTGCCCCATGTGCCCAGGCCTGAGGACTTGCTCCTTCCCCTCAGATCTGTCTCTGAGCCACTGGAGGAGACCCACCACGTCTGGGTGCGTGGGCACTCCAGAAGGAGCCTGGCCCGACCCCAGCGCCTCACAGAGCTGCCCCACAGTGTGGGAGCCTGACCTGATCCTGGGCAGAGTTCATGTGCTGGCAGCAACACCCCTGTCTGAGTGCCCAGCAGGGCCGGCTGCCACCCACGGGATTCATCCTGTCCCAAGTGCCCATTCCTGCCAAGGCCGCTCTCCCTTGTTGCCAGGCCTGACGGCAGCGCCCCAGGCCAACATGGGGTGCATGGGAGAGCCCTGGCTAGCCTCCAGCCAGTGCTCACTGAGTGTGTCCCCAAGGCTGCGGTCACACTGCGTCCGGCCACCTGGTGAGCATCCAGAAGGTGGCTCCACACCCGCCAGCCCTGGGGGCAGCCATAGCAGCTCAGAGCTGAGCGTCATCAAGGTGACAGGCCATGGGCCCCAGTCCCCAAAGCCACCTGGGACTCAGGCCACCAGCTCCTGCCCTTCAGGGAACCCTTCCAGCTGGCTCTGAGCCTCACAGACCTGACCCCAACCCCCAGCCTACACGTTTTGCGTCCCCTGCTCCTCATGGCTCTGGGTTCTGACCGAGTGTGGAGCCCTGCCAAAGCCTACAGGGAGCCACCCCCACTGAGTGTCTGCAGCCCAGGGTCCCAAGTCATGCAGGCACAGAATGGTGCTGACCCCTTGGGTGACCCAGCCAAGGATGCCCAGGCCCAACCCTCTCCTGACCCTTCCAACGTCCCCCACCTGGGGCTGAGGCTGTCCCCATGGGAGGGACACATTGCCCTGTGCCCTTAGCCCCATGTGATCTGCGAGACCTCAGAGAAGCTCAGGGTCCCTGGGGCAACCCAGCTGCCGGGACACATGTTGGCCCCTCCAGGCTGGCTCACCCCAGGGAGCCCTGTGATACAGCCCATCCATGTCGGTGTCTCAGCCTTGTCCTCAAGTACAGAGGGGCCAGGCTGCACGAGGCATGTGGCCCAGCCCCAACGCTGCGGACAGTTCTGACTAGAGGCCACGTCTGTTGTGCAGAGAGCCACCTTCACGCCACCTGCTGGGCCCCAGCCCCTGCCATTCCAGTTGGCCTCCAGGGGCCTGGCTTATGGACAGCAAGGCCACAGCTCTCTGGGTTTATGGATCCAACTGGGGTAGGTGGACCAGTGTCACCTTGCCCAACACCGTCACTGTCTGCATGGAGACTGTGGGCTGCTACAGGGAGCACAGGAGGCGCTCGACATAGCCGGGGCGCAGGCCCTGATGCTCATAGCATCCTCTTTGTTTTTTGGAGGTCTTTTTCGGCCAAGGCCAGGGGCACTGCCCATGCAGCTGGGCAAACAGTCCTCCATGGCAGAGGTGAACACACTGAGGCCTCAGGACAGGCTGGCCCTGGGCCAGGGAGTTGGTGTCCAGCAGCTTCTGGGGCGGCTTGCCTGGGCCAGAGTTCATGCAGGCTGCCATCTCCATCCCCGCAGAGCACTCCAAGCCCGGGACGCCTTTGGTGAATCATTGCAAAATCCCGGCCAGCTTTGCTGGCTCCTCTGCCTACCAGGGGAGAGGTGCACCCGGGGCAGGGACAGACAGCAGCCTGGGCAGGTGGGCAGGGCAGGTGGCAGGGGCCTGTGGCTTCCTCACTGACAGGGGCTGGGCCCGGGCTGAGGTTAGAGCCACACAGCTCCCAGCTGGGAGGCTGGGCACCGTGGCAGCAGGGCAGCACAGTCAAACCGGGACTTGAGAGCCAAGGTGGTCAGTCCAGGCAAGGCTACCTGCTCCTGTGGTGGGAGCCGGGGGCGCTGGGCACTGCTGGGACTGACCCTGCTGGCCGAGGCCACACCCTAGACAAGGCTGAGAGCAGAAGATGGGGCCGGTGGGAGGTGACTGAGCCACAGGCCTTGGTGGGGCATGAGGGGCCCAGGAGGGACCCCAGGCAAGGCTGGAAGAGCACGGAGACGCCCAGGCCAGCACTGGGCAGCCCTCCCTGTGGGAGGCCAGGGCACAGCTGGACACGGACTGATTGAGGAGATCTCGCTGTTGGCTTGGGGACTGGGGAGGACAAGGCCCTTGGAGGAGAGGAGGGTCCAGAATGGTCTGAGGGGGGCAGGGCTCGGCAGCTGTGAGAGGGTGGGGGACACACACCTGCGTGGAACCCTCTACCCCACTCTTCCTGTACTGTCCCAGCCCGCAGTGAGGGTCTATGTGTGATGTGTGTGCACACGTGTGTGGCGTGTGTCAGCCATCGTGAGTTGTGAGCACCTGCCAGAGAGGGGGATGTGGGGCTGTGGAGCACCCTCCGTCCTACCCTCCCTTCTTCCCTCATCCAGGGAACCAGCCAGCTCCTGTTGCCACGGCAACAACAAGCCCCTCCCACCTGCAGGACAGGGTGACCTGGTGGGGCTGGCTGCTCACGGAGTTCCGTGTTTCCAGCCAGGAGCTGCTGGGGACAGCCTAGCTGGGGCTAGGCCAGGCCGCAGAGCTTGGGAGGGACACCTGCTCAGAGCAGGGCAAGCAGGGGGGGGCGAGGCACCCTGGGCAGCGGGCGAGCCGAGGTGGAGGTGCCCTCAGGCCCGCCCCGCCCCCTCACTGGCCCCGCCCACTGGAGGCGGCCCTGGCTCTGCTGTCTGGGGAAAGGGCTGTTTTCAAGGCCTCCCAGGACCTGCGAAGAAAACAGGTGGGACTGGTGCCGGCGCAGAGGGCCCTTGGCTCAGAGCCACGGGTTGGGTGCCCTGGGCACATGGGCCGAGCTGAGCAATGCGGTGAGCTGTGGCCAGCCCCGGGTAGCCGGCAGGGTCATCTGGGGACACAAGCGTTTGCAGCGCAGTCGTCAGTCATGGTGGTAGGGGCGCTGCAGTCAGAGACCAGACCCTCACCGGCCCACTTCTTAGGCCTGATGGTGGGAGGACAGCGCTGGGGTGGGGGCCAGGGCCCATGCTGACTCGAACACCGCCCTCGATGAGCTCCGGGCCCTGTTGCTTGCACGCGCAGGCAGAGGCATACACAACGGTGAACCCACCACCCAACACTCCAGAGAAAGGCAGGCTGCAGAGACCCCACCCCCAGGGAGGGGCAGCCTCCTGCTTGGCCCTGTTCTCCAGATCAGGCTGTGGCCCCCTGCCCACCCATGCGAAGGGTCTTGGTCACCTTCACAACGAGAGGGCGGTGGGCCGGCGTGAGTGTTGGGCGTGCAGAGCACGGCCAGTTTGGGGGGCTTGGTGTTGAGAGCACAGCTCAGGAGCCTGGGCCTGGTGAGTGCCTCTCCTCAGACGCTGGTCCCGAGGGCTGATGACGGGGGACCGGTCGGGCCAGAGCCAGGACGGCTGGAGAATACGGGCCTGGGGTTCACACGGGTGGGGCCCAGCCCGCCCGGCTGTCCAACGGGGCAGCAAGGTCTACTGCGGTTCCTGCCCAGTTGCCCACCTCCCCAGCCCCAAGGTTTGTGGCCCAGCACAGCCTGACTGTCCAGGCCCAGGGGAGGGTGCGCCTGGGTAAGTGGGCTGTTGCCGCCTCCCTGGCAGGACTCGGAGGGACTTGACCCCCTGGGGCCTCTGTGCAGGCCAGGCTGTGGCCACGGTTAACCCACCCAGCTCTGGAGGCCAAATACAGAGGAGAACTAGGCAGGGTTCAGAGAACCAGAGTCCTCCTCACACAGGCTGGAGGCACGCAGAGATGGGGGCAAAGAGCCCCTGAGGCTGCGGGGTGCGCTGCGTGATGGGCGCCTATCACGGGCATGGCGTGGGCCCCGGGTACTGGGGGTTGGAGAGGGCGCTACAGTGCCCCTGGGGAGAGGTGGGCCTTGGGCTGGGCCGAAGCGTCAGAACCTGGGAAAGGCGTGGCATTCAGTGCCACCAGCAGAGCCACAGGGATGGTGACGGGACCCGGAGGCAGGCTCGGGGCAGGGTGGAGAAGCAGAGGGAGACCCGGGGTAGGCTGAGCTCAGGGTCACCCCATCTGGCCCAGGAACATGTGCCGCGGCGGTCGGGCCCTGGCATGGACGCGTACTGGGGACAATGGTCCGCGCTCCGTCCCTCAGCCTCAACCCCCTCCGAGGACTGCAGAGTTGGCAGGTGGCCCATCACACCTCCAGTCCTGAGCCACTCGGACCAGTGACCTTGGGCTGAAGTCAGCCACCGGCCGGGGCCAGGTCACATCACGCAGTTGAGCCGGGTCGGGAGAGGAGGTGCAGGCGGAGACCAGGGGCTTGTGCCCCCGACCGCAGGTCGCAGGAGTCCAGGACCCTGGCAGCGGGCAGCCGGACGGTGCCTGGTGATGGACAAGCAGACGGCCCTCGGGCACAGGCCAGCAGGCAAGGGTGCCAGGGAGGGGCAGCACGCGCAGGCTGCGGGCGCCAAGTCGGAGGGGAAGGGGGCGTCCGGGCTCCCGCCCGCCGCCGAGCCGCACGTTCCGGGCCACTGAAGCCGGGGTCGCCGCGGGTGCGCGCGAGTCCCCACGCGGGCCACGTGCGCGCTAGGGAGTGCGGGCAGCCAGTGACGCGCACACACGACGTGTGTCACCGCAAGGCTCAGGGCGGTGCGGGGGTCCCTCGCGGACTTCCGCATCTCCACGGCACCCAGCGCCCGCCGCCCACTCGGGGCCCAGCTGTAGAAACGCGCGGGTAACGCCGGGCCGAGCGGTGACCTTTCCCGGCGAGGCGGGGGGCGGCACCCTCGAGCCCCGCCCCTCATGCACAGCGCCATTGGCTGGAACCCCGGTGTCCTTTCAAAACCTCAGCGCCCATTGGCTCGCGTGCCCTCGCCCGGAGGCGTCGCGGCCCGCGCCCGCACCAGAGCTGCGCGTGCGCAGACTGAGCGAGCGCGGTGGAGAGCCGCGGCACGCAGTGCGCCTCCGCGACTCTACTACGGCAACCTAGTCCCGGCGGGTCGGCAGGCTCCGCCCGCGACGCAGCCTTCGCCGACCCCACAGGCGGCTCTCGGCTTACCCCACCGTCGCCTCGGCCGGCTGCGGGCGGCGGCGCCGCGAAGGCCGCGAGCGGAAGGGGGCGGG